TGGAGTGACATTAATTCCGACAAAAAAAACAATTTGCTGTTATTTTTTGTCGTCTGTCCAATAATGTACACTTATATTAACAAAATTTTACATGCAATACAGTCTTTTAAAGTTTGTAATTTTTACGAATTTATAATCTAAAAAAAAAAAAAACCAATTATAATCAAAATTTTTATTTGATCTCTTTTTTTATTTCATGTGTCAAATTCTAAAAATGACTAATAATCCAGATACGGATATTAATTCCGAAAGAACAACGCAATTTAATAACACAATTGGAATTTATCCCTGATACTCACGCTAAAATGCATTGCTATTCCATACAAATCTGCTCTAACAATCAGTATACTAATTCAGTAATTATATAAAGATAATTATAGAAAAATACGAATTGCAACGTTTCACAATACGTTTTACATTCGAGATACGTAATACAGTAGTGGGAAAAAAAGTTATATACGTAGATATGGTACTGTACGTACGTACGTACGTACGCACTAAAACCTTTCACTATGATGACATTACCGAACGAGTGTTACTATATAATATTCAATAACCTTTGGCCTAATTATAAGAACTTATTATCATGTATTCTCGTAAGCCGTCAATGGTGCAGAATTATTATACCAATATTATGGAGCGAACCAGAACATCATCTTAAAGACATAAGACTTATAAGAACATTCCTATTATCATTAAATGAAGAAGAAAAAGCTTTATTAACTCGTCTTAAAATTACTCTTCCAAGTTATCCAAAACCACTATTTGAATATCCAAGTTATATCACATCTATTGGCAATTATCTATTTATTGGAATTAGAAATTGGCTTCATCATGAAGGATATAAATCTATTTGTGAACTTGAAAAGGTTGAGAATGCCGTTAAATGTTCTTTGATTGCAATGTTTCTACGAACCGGTAATAATCTCAAATATTTAAGTCTTAATGAGATTATTTGCAATCAAATAATATTTGAAAAACTTTGTGAAAACACTACAATTACTTCTTTGGATTTATATAATATCGGTGGCGATTTTAAATCTAAAGTAATGGATGTGTTGGTAAATTTTCTTAATAACAATTCTGCTTTGACTTCTTTAAATCTTAAATCTAATCAACTTGGGACAGAAGGTGGGAAAAAATTATTAGAAGCTCTTTATAAAAACACTGTCCTAAATTCTTTAGATCTTTATAATAATCAATTTGGTATTGAAGAGGGAAAAGCACTAGCAAATTTTCTTTGCAATAACACTACTTTGACTTCTTTATCTCTTGATTTTAATAAGCTCGGTTCTGAGGGTGGAAAGGCATTAGCGATGGCTCTTAACAAGAACACTACTCTGATTTCTTTGAATCTTGACAATAATCAAATTGGTTCTGAGGGTGCGAAAGCATTAGCAAATTCACTTTGCAAAAACACTTCTCTTATTACTTTAAGTCTTTGCAATAATCAAATTGATTCTGAAGGTGGAAAAGAGTTCGCAGATACACTTTGTAAAAACACTACGTTGCGTTCATTAACTCTTTGTCATAATCTGATTGGCATTAGAGGTGGAGAAGCGTTAGCAAAAGCTCTTTATAAGAATACTACCCTAACTTATTTGAATATTAGTGAAAATCAGATTGATTATGATGTTTATCATATTAATTATGATGTTGAAGACTTATTAGAAAAAGTTCTTTGTATAAATACTTCTCTAAATTGCAAATATTAAATAAATTTCGGGTGTATATAAAATTTACATTGGTTTATAAGATAAAGGTGTGTTTATTAGTATTACAACGTTTTAGAGCATTTCAAATTCTGAACGTTTAATTTAAAAATTCATGCTTTGAACAGACAAACTAATAATTTTTGATTTTACGGGCAAGTATAGGTTGGTGTGCCCAATTGAGTGACATGAATCGAAAATTCTATTAATCGAATCTATAATCTGACAACGAAAACGAGATTATTATTGTAAAACTCGTAAATTATAACGGAGACAACTTACAGACTTTAGTAAAGATTTTACAGTACTTCTAAATCTGTGATTGTATTTGGCTTTGTTTCAATTTGAGATATTAGCCAGAAATTCAATTCTTGAGCATTATTAAATCCTATTATTCAATAAAAAAACAACATGCCCACTGATTTCGCCCAATTTCAGCTTTAATTTTTTTTTTTAGGAAAGGTATCACGTACAATTATACAATGTTATGGATTTAATTTTTTTTTTTTAGGAAAGGTATCACGTACAATTATACAATGTTATGGATTTAATTTTTTTTAAAAACAACATTAGAAAGCAAAAATACATTTTTTATTATAAAGTTTATAATAAAAATGACGAGTACAGCATCACAGTAAAGGGGTTGATCTAATATCACTATCCTCCATATACTCTTAAAGCCAAATACATAGTTTCATTATTCTGGACATCATATTCATGCAGCTTTTTTTGACCATCATTTAATTCTTTGGTTTTAGATTTAAGGATTTGTTCTTCAACTGGGATTCCTATTGAATAAGTCACAGAGTGAGAGAGTGAGCAACCAATAAAAATGTTATTTTTTTGCTTTCCAAAGTCAAAATTATACCTTCGAGATCAAGAATTTTTTGCTTGACACTTTCGACAGTGTCATTTTCAAATACTATAAGAGGAAATTTTTTTCCTTTAACTAAATTTACAGATAGATTTATACGCGAAAATAAAACCATAGTTCCTTCGCTTTGAAAGCCAAGGTTATCCAACGTATCTTCATCCTTTAGTTCTTTGGTTAGGTAGATAAGCTTCTGTAATTTCATAAGAATTCCTATTAGATAAGTTTCTGAGTGAGTACGCATCATTTTTTTTTATTTATTCAAAGATGAATTATACCTTCATTATCCTGAATTTTCTGCTTGACTTTCGAGACAGTGTCATCTCCAAACACCGTAAGAGTGATTTTTTTTCCAGAGAGTAGTACTACGAACAGAATCATAATAGTTATAAATTTTTATTTACCTAAAGGTTTTATAATTTGCACAAAGGTGAAAGAAAGCGAATATATAAATTTTAGTCTTGAGGAGGAACGGTATGTTAACATTGATCACAGAACAAATAAATCTCAATCACTCTGATCTTAAACAGATTTACTGCAACTAGGGCTCTGCAAGGGGTAACATTTTTAAATATTTCCAGGAATATGCTCATGCATCATCATTTTTAATGACATATGCTCGGCATTTGCAGTAACTTTGATAAAACATTGATATTTTGTAACACAGAAATTATTATAAATAAGCCATGTTTTTATGCGGAGATAAATAAAAAAAAAGGAAACTCTAACAAAATTTAATAAATTTAATGTTAAGAAGGAGAAATATCGAATGCAAATTTTGTTGTAATAATGTGCCCAGCGTCGATTTCATAAACACAAGTACCAATTGTAATCACAAAATATGCAGGGCATGTCTCAACGAAAATATTAATACCCAACTGAATTCAAAGGGTAATACTGATATTAAATGTTTAGAGAGTGATTGTGAGGTCTTGATGGAATATGAAGACATGAAACGAGTTGCCAGTGAAGATTTGTTTGAAAGGTAGATCTAACTATACAGTATTCAGTATATGTCACCATTTCTAATTTGTTACTATTAAGGAAGAATTTTTTTTTTCTAGATATGAATATCTTTGTCTTCGTCAAGCTATACGACAAATGCCAGATTTTCGATGGTGCTCAAATCCGGAATGCGGTTCAGGACAAGAACATTTTGAACGAGGTTGGAATAAATATTTGTATGCAAATCAAAAAAAATTAACTAACCAATATTTAATTTTAATAGATAAAGCTCCAATAATGGTCTGTAATGAATGTGAAAAAATGACCTGTTATAAACATGAAGTTCCATGGCACGAAGGCCGCACCTGTGCTGAGTACGATATTGAGAAAGAAACTCCTGAAGGCGCCACGAGTTATGCCATCGAACGCGATACCAAACCTTGCCCCAATTGTAAAGTTAGAATTTATAAAACGGGTGAGGATATGATCTTGGTTTGATTTAAATTAGCTGCATGATTTAATGTTTGTTTTTTTCACTTTATAGGAGGATGTACTCATATGAAATGTACTAATCCCGGATGTCATTACGAATTTTGTTGGTTGTGAGTATCAAGTTGGCTTTTTTGTGTTAATTAGATTGTCTTAATGAAATTCTTAAACATATTCGTTGTACTTTCTTTGAGCATTTTAGATGCAGCGCTGACTATAACAATATTTTTAATCACGGCAATGCTCATCACAAAAAAACTTGCGAATTGTATAATAAAAAAAGTTACCGTTTTTAAATTACAGTTTATGAAAATTTTATGCGAATCAAGAATTAAACCATCTTTTAATGATAATATGTAATTCTATTTTCACGTTAACTAGCAGATGTTGTATTGTTACTATGGCAATATCTTTATTATTTTATGAAATAAAGCATTGATATATCGAGTAAGAGTTATAAAATTTGAAGATAATTAATTTCCTTTGCATGGAAATAAGCCGACTGATGGGCAAAAATAGACTTCAGAAAGTTATGAAAGATGCAGCTTAGTTTTAGTTTGTTTTTTTTTCTTGTAACGGAAGTAAAAATATAAAACCAATAATAAAATTATTAACATTCTTAGTTATCTCAGTTAATTAAATTCTAAAAAGATTGAAATTTGTTACATTAATGTCAGATCCGAATCCTAAAATATGATTTTTATAAAGTTGTAAAAAGTACGTACGGTGATAAGTCACTAGAAAAATTAGCGATACAACTCGAATTAATCAATTAGTTATAAATTGACAGTTATTCAATTATTATTGCTCGATCAAATAACTTTATAAAAGCAAATATGAAAACATATAGATCAGACATCCTTTCATAGGCTCTATCCTAGATACAACAATACAGCTAACAAGTTCCGTAGGTCCTATAACCCTAAAAGCAACCAAATAAGTCTAATACGAACGCATTAATTTTAGCATGCATGCGAGTATAAAAAACGTTTGCTAATCTAAGATTTAAAAGCAAGCTATTCGAATTCAAAATTTATTCGAATTAGTTTACCATGCGAATATAAGAATATTTATTAAACCAAGTATTTAAAACAAACTATTCAACTTCATAAGAAATTACACAAGTGGTGCAATAGCACCTCATTTTCGCTAGTATAATACAAAATCTTGAGTATAAATAATAATACATTTTCTGACAACGCGTATTGAATCCTTTATTAGGTTTTCTGGATATATAGTCTCACTTAAAAATGAATTTAGAAATATTGGTGAAAATAATTTTGCTAGCATTTTTGAATTTTTTATTTTTTTTTACTCAGGAAGGGACAAATTTTTAGCTAATAATTTGAAAAACGTTGCTAACAAGTTAATATGATTCATCAAATTTCTCTAAAGCATCATAATAGCCTTACTTTTATACTTCAGTAATTTAATAGTATCAATATTCTTTTCAAATAATTCATTCATAAATGATGTTAAAGCTCTGCTCATAAGCTAGCGTGGCGTGTAGGATTTCTGATTTCGTTCATCCAATTCTTTCTCAAATGACTTCTGAAATGTATTGTTCTTAAATAACCAATTGTTTTTCACCTGATTCTTATTAACATTTAAAAAAATGTGAAATATTTTCGTAAGAAATAAAATAAATCGATGAAATAAAATAAATAAACTAAATAAATTCACGAAATTTATAAAATTTACAAATTTGAAGGAATAGAATGCTATACTATGTTGGATCCGCAATAATTCGGGTTGGGTAATTTCGACTTTACCCGCTCTATTTAAATTCTTTTTCATAATAAATATAATCTCGTCTTACATTCAAAAAATCTTAATAAAGCCATTTATTTTATGAGCTTTGATAAAATAAACTTCTAGATCTTTATGTCAATATAAAATTTTTCTTATTCCTCTATTGAAAAAGATTCTTCAGTTTTTATAATTGGCAATCTGTAAGCACTTGAAGGATAATTCCAACAACTTTTATCTAAATTAAAATTATCGTTCATGTCAAAACAATCATCAAAAATTGCTTTTAATGGTTCGTTCGCACGACATAATATAGATTTTTTGAATATCTCCTTTTTTCAATGAAAAAAATAAAGCTTTCCTCGTAACTTCTATGTTGATAGCTATGTTTCTTATCCAAACCAGTAGGATTATATCCACTAAGAATTTCATAAGTGCCTTTAACTTTAAAATTCCAGAATGAAACCATCTCTGGTTCCACGAAGAAGCATTTAAATTCATATACAGTCAATATTATCTTTACTAAATACGCATCATGTTTCTTATCAATCCATGAAGCAATTTCTGTTGCAAATGCTTCATTAATAAATGGTTCAACAATTCTGGTCGATAATGTCATTTTTAAAATTATTCAAGATGAAGAACGACAGAAGATATTGGTTCATCATATTTCTCATTATGTCCTTCCAAAACTTTTTCTCAAGAATTTGTTGATAAGGCTGCACATTATTAATAATACAATTATAAGACATTTAAAATAACGGATATGAGGTAAACAATTTGTAAAATAGTCTTTAAAGCTATAAAATTCTTGTGGAACCAGTCTTCAAGATCGGATGATAAGCCAGAAATTTGCCAGAAATTTAACATTTTATATCATAATTCCAAGTTTTTATTTCATTAACCCTCTCTTAGCTTTTTTCGTCGGCATGCAGAAAATCACTTCTAATAAAGTTAAAGATTAGCAGTGGGTGTCCCATTTATTGGATGCGTTCTTGCTCGTGATCAGCCACATTTCCTTTTAGACTAAAGCAGAAAAGATTT